TGTACAATTTACAGCATTGCAATCTCTGATATTTGTGAAATCTGTATCTTTTGTTATCTATCGTATCGGAAGATACACAGGTTTAGAACGAAATTGTCTTTACCTGTATGGGTTATTTTGGGGGGTGGGGGTTGCGTATGACTGTGTGTGTCTGCGTCTGAGAATGTATTATTTTTAACCTTGTTTAAATAGTAATTTGATATTCTATAGAATATCAAAGTATTATGTTCGATGCCTTGGAAAAACTGGAAGAATTTTTCAATTTCTGACTTCATCTGAAGGCTCTTTGCATTCATTGCAATGCCGAGGAATTACTAGCAATGACTGATTTCCGGCTTTGACGGTAACATATATATTTCTTTATCCATATAAATGGATATGCAATAAAAATAAATGCAAAGATCGGATTAAAAATTAGAAATAAATATCGAACAAAACGATTTTAATATTCAACGTCACGTATAAGCCAAATAATATGCGTGTACCGTTTACTTTATATATTGATTATTTTACAAAATTAATAAATTAAAAAAACAAAGTATAAGAAGATAAAGAAGAAGAAGAAGAAATAAAAGACTATTTACCGATTTAAATGTACTAGCAAAACCTATATATATATATATACGGAACTATTATTTTATTATTAAATGTAAGATTATATTAAATATTACTTTGTGCGGTACAGTTTAATCGTTCAATTCATTGATATAACGTTATACTATTTGTCCAACGCTATTTCCACTCTGCACTAATTACGAAACAAGTAATTACGGCCTTCCCTGATGAGACCCCGTGGCACGCCTCAACCACCACCATTGAAGTTTCACAAACGTCAATACTATTCCGATTAGTTTGTCGATTATTATAGTTATCTGTTATTATAATGTTCGATTCCAAGACCTCTATTACATAAATTGACATTTATTCGAATAATCGGATAATAATATTTCATATTAATTACTTATTTAAAACTTTCAAATAAGATTTTATCCTTGTTTTGTTTTTTTTTTATTTTACACGTGTTCTTTTTCTTCTTCTTCTTCTTCTTCTCCTTTGGTTTATTAATAATTTATTTGTCTATTCTTTCTTGTTGTTTTTTATTTTTTTTTTTTTTTTTTTTCTAATAATTAATTTCATTTTCGAAAAATAAATACCTCATTTTTATCATTTATACGTTTTATTCCGAACAACCTATATTTCGTTCTGATAATGAATTAATTATTATTTTGTTAGAGAGTTTGTGTTTAGTTTTGTATTTATTATTTCAAATTAATTCGTCGTCTCTCTTTCTTTTTCTATATTTTAAGGTGGTGGTGACAGCAACAAAGGGAAGAGTAAGAAATGGCGGAAGATACTTCAGTTTCCACACATTTCCCAGTGCATCGGCCTAAAAGATAAATTAGGTATGTCCAATGTTTTATATTCAATATGTTTTTGTTTATATTTTTATTTTTTTTTCGATCAAAAACTAATCAGTATTAAATTCTATTTAAAACTTGCGTGCGTGTACAGATACGTCATTTTCCTTTCTTTTTTTTTTGTTTAGGGTAGATATATATATATTTTGTATTAATTCGAAAGATAAACTTCAATATTACATTTATTTTATTGACAAATTTTTATCTCTTTCTTGTAACAAAAAGAAAAATTAGCATAAAATTTAAATTTTAAAACTTATCTGTATATACGAATGTTTCGTTCTTTTTGTTTTATTTGTTTTATTGAGATGCATAAATTATCGGGTCACATCAATTTGGAATTATTTAAAGAAAAAGAATGTTACTAGCCCTTAGAGTAGTTAGAATGGTACCTTAATGGTAGATTTATATGTCAAAAAAAGGAAAAATATACGAATAGTAAATTCGTTCCTGAGAAATGTTCGTTTTGTCGAAGTAGAACAAACACACTGCGTTTCACTTTTTTTTTCTTTCTCTTTCTTTCCTCTTTACATTTGATAAAATATTCTTCCCCTCTTTCATCGATGCCTCTCTTGGTTAATCAACGTGTGACCCCTCGTTGACCTCGACCTGAGATTATTGAATCTTTACGACCCCCTTCCCCCGTACTTCGCGAAGCATCATTCAAATTATTTGCTTTAAAAAATTAAGATAAGATTGAAATAACAATAAAGATATCAAAGAAAAAAAAAAAAAAAGAAAACACAGAACTTACAATTAAATATATTCTTCGAAGATTTATTTATAATTCTTATCTTAAATTATATTAAATTAAATATTTTATTTAAATCAATAGAAATATTAATTAATAAAATCTTTCGATCGATCATATGATTTTATTTTTTTTTTGTTTGATGCAATATAGTCTTTAATACGAAAACAAAAAAATGTTTAAATTATATATACGCATGGATAATAATTTTATTTCAAAAAAATGTGTTAACGTCATCGTCACGTCAAATATTATTATATTATAAAAATCGATAAAGTTTAATAACATTATTCAAATCAGTTTGAAAATATTTTTTTGAAATTTTTCACATATCCGTTAGTTATCATATAATATCGCGTTAAATAATTTACTTTTACTTATAAATTTCTCTAATATGCACGTATAGTAATGCAAACAAACACATAAATAAATAAATGTCAAAATTTATATCTAATTAGATATATTTATAATGATATTATTCTTCTATATATCTTTCTCATTGAATCATAGTATTTCACGCGTGGAAAATTTAGGTTTACATGTCTGTTTTCTCTTTTTTCTTGTTTTTTTTTTTTTTTTTTTTTTTTATAAATTTCTCTTCAACGAAATCGAACATGAAATTGCAATAATTGTTCACGTTGAAAGTTTCTTCCTAGTTGTTACATACTACGACTGTTAACGACCGATAACTTTAAATGAAATTCTAAACACGCGATTTTCTTTCACTCATGAAACTTTTGCAAAACAAAAAATACTTTACTACAAATCGATAATACTTAATTATTGTTATTCGAATACGAATAATTCATATAAATAAATATATATCTTAATTATTATATTGATAAATGATAATAAGAATTTTAATAGGAATTTAGAAACTATACTTTCATACCAAAAAATTAATATAAACTAAATCAATTATTATTATTCGTACATTTGCTTGTTGTTTTTCTCTCTTTCTCTTACTTGTTTTTTTTTTTAATTATTATATAGATATTAGGTACGGGTATGTGGTGGATCAGCAACCAATCGGAAGACTTCTCTTCAGGCAATATTGTCAAGATAAGAAACCGGCCTATCACCGATACAATCTTTTCCTGGATTCAATCGAAAAATACGAGATCGAGATGGACGAAAATCGGATGGAATTAGCCAAGGAATTGTTCGAACAATATCTTACAAGGGAAGGTTCTGAGGTCGTAGATATTTTGAACGATTCCTTAATATCCCAATGCGAGGAAAGATTGTGCTCGGGTGGAAAGGAATTGTTCGTTGAGATCGCACAAACTGTGAAAAATTTTCTAGCTGGTGAACCATTTTCAGCCTTTCAAACCAGTATTTATTTTTACAGGTACAATTTCAAAGATTACATACATTTTCTTCTCTCTTCCCTCGAAACATAATTTACATCATTGAATAATCTTCTTCGTGTTCATTAAAAAAAAAAAAAAACAAATATTGAAACGTGCATTAAATTAGGGGGTGATAGTTATTTGATGAAAAAATATGTAACTGTTGGAACTATACTAATTAGATGAAAAACTAAAACAACTACCCTAACCATACGTATAAATTTACAGTATAAAAATTGAGCAAATAATAATTATTAATGAAATATATATATATGTATAACGATATAAATAAACAAGATATATATTTAAAGATGATTATAGATGGGATCTGAAGATGGTTTATAATTTCAGGTATCTCCAATGGAAATGGTTGGAAGCACAACCGGTAACTTACAAGACGTTCCGTATGTATAGAGTCCTTGGTAAAGGTGGTTTTGGTGAAGTATGTGCTTGTCAGGTCAGAGCAACCGGTAAAATGTATGCCTGTAAGAAACTCGAGAAGAAAAGGATAAAGAAGAGAAAGGGAGAAGCAATGGTACTGATTGAAAAGAATATACTACAGAAGATCAATTCTAAGTTTGTAGTTTCGTTAGCTTATGCATACGAAACGAAGGATGCTTTATGCCTGGTATTGACCATTATGAATGGGGGTGATTTAAAGTTTCACATATACAATATGGGCGGTGAACCTGGTTTTGATATTAATCGGGCTAGATTTTATGCCGCCGAAGTGGTATGCGGTTTGGAACATTTACATCTTCAAGGTATTGTCTATAGAGACTGCAAACCGGAGAATATTTTACTCGATGATCATGGCCACGTTAGGATATCTGACCTTGGATTAGCCGTTGAGATTACCGAGGGTGATATGGTACGTGGTAGAGTTGGAACTGTTGGTTACATGGCACCCGAAGTAATCGATAACGAGAAATATACATTTTCACCTGACTGGTTCAGTTTCGGTTGTCTTCTTTACGAAATGATTGAAGGTCAAGCACCTTTCAGAGCTAGAAAAGAAAAAGTTAAACGCGAGGAGGTCGACAGAAGAGTTAAGGAAGATCAAGAAAGGTATTCATCCAAATTCACCGAGGAAGCTAAAGGCCTTTGCCAACAGTTACTCAAAAAGAGTCCGAAAAACAGATTGGGCTGCAAGTGCGGTAGGCACGGGGCAAAGGAGGTCAAACTTCATAGTTTCTTTCAGTGCTTGAACTGGAAAAGGGTCGAGGCTGGTATGTGGGAACCGCCATTTGTGCCGGATGTGAGTAGGTGTCGTGATAGATTGTCTTTCTCTTTCTCTCTTGCTATCACTGTCTCTATCTTTATTTCTACTCTTACATCTTCAATATTCCTTGTATATTTTATATCGTTTCTTTTCTTTTCTTTTTCTATCAATTTGATATAATCACAATCGAAAAAATAAATTTATATTTCTTATATAATATTTTATATATAATTTTATTAAATGTTTTTTTTCTTGGGGGATTTTTTCTTTTTTCTCTCTCTAATAAATAATCTTATTTCAGCCTCACGCTGTATATGCTAAAGACGTCCTAGACATCGAGCAATTCTCCACAGTGAAAGGTGTTAATCTCGATGCGACAGACGACACCTTTTACAGTAAATTTAACACGGGAAGCGTATCCATTCCTTGGCAAAATGAGGTAAGTCTCGTAAAACAGTTCAAACAATATATACTTATACACACACACATACACGTATATATATATACTATGTGTATTGTTCTTTTACGATATCGAGACTGATTAATATAAGAAAGTTGTGTTGAAAGAAGAAGAAGAGACTCTTACGGTTGATTACCTTTGACCTTTACCAATAAAAATGCCGAACCTTTGACTCTCCTACATTTAACTAACGACACATCATAAAGAACATTTGTGTTAGTATTCATTGGTCGTAGGGAAAAAAGTCCAAAAGTTTTTATCACTGATAAATTCTTATTCTTGCAGATGATAGAGACTGAGTGTTTTAAGGAACTCAATGTACTAGGTCCTAACAACACGCCTACTCCAGACTTATTGATAAATTATCCACCACAGAACAACGAGAACAGAGGCTGTTTTCCATTCCGTAGAAAGGTATATAACATAAAATGATAATAATAATAATAATAATAATAATAATCATTCGTTCATTTAATTTCCATATTTGGATTCTAACAATAATTTTCACAATGACTCCGATAGTAGACAAAGAATTCTGTACTAATTAAAAAATACAATCTTAATAATTAATACAAAAAAAAAAAAGGAAATATATGAAGCGACAAAGCATCATTTTCCCCATCATCAATCCTAATAATTAATTAAATTGATTAATATATAAAAAAGAAAATAAAGTAAAACTTTTTATATCTTATCATTCTTTTATGATTAAGATATTGCACAATAAATAAAGTAATACGATTTGTATAATCAATTATATGTAAATAATTAAAAAATATATATATAATGATAATATTGCATTATTTTCCTCGCTATTAGTGTCGCGAGTGATTAAATTAATTAATAAATGATATTATTATTATTATTATTATTCAGGAGAAGCAGAGTGCACGTACAAAGGAGATACCGTTATCCGAGTGCCATTTGTTGGAGCTGTCTCAAAGTCAGAGCTCCGAGATGTCGGTCAGCTGACTCAGGATTAACGCATGTAGCGTGAATCAATCGGCATCACCTTCTTATCGTTGTCGTCGTGGTCGAAGACGACGTACTTCGAGATGTTGTCCAAAGCTTCTCTGAATAAGGGATTCAAGGATAAGGATAAAGAAAGGGAGATGAGTTCTATCTCTCCTTTTTTAAAAGAAGAACAAGAACAAGAAGAAGAATATATCCTTTTAACAAAATATACCTCTCTTCGTTCAATGGAAAAGAAATTTCTGAGGTCCTTGACGGAAGGACTTAAAAAACCCTCCCCTCAAAAAAAAAAAACAACTCTGATTACAAAAGAAAATGAAAAAGAAAAAGAAAAAACACACGAGAAAAGAATTTTTGTGTCTCCAATCACACAAACAAATGTGTCCGTTCAATATCGTTCCTGATCGTTTTTGTTTTATTTTAAATGAATTTTGTTTTGTGTCCTAAGCATTTATATCGAATAATTACTAAAATCAGCATTTATCAGAATTATTTGTACACTTATTAAATAGTTAAATGGATGAAAAAAAAAAAAAAGAAAGAGAAAGCGAAAGAGTGGGACGAAACGAATGTATACGTGTTGTGTATACGTGTACAATTTGTATTCGATCAGAATCACGGAATACTTCCATGTTTATTATCACGTCCTATCAACTACTTAACTGAGAGAATATTTCGATATAAATATACATATACATATATACATATATAAATATTAGAATTTAAATTCGATGACAAAAAAAAAATTTAGAGGATAAATTTATTCCACTGATCAAACTTATGTTACCGAACGAATGATTATTTTCAGTAATAATAAAAAAAAATGAAATTAATGAAAAAGAAAGAAAGAAAATGAAACGTATACACTTTGTATTTGAACTGAAGAAATATTTTAATATATGCATATGTATATGTATATGTATATGTATAAGAGGATTAAATTAGACACGATTGAAAAGTGAAAGTATATCTACGAAGAGCTCAAAGACATCAATTCGAAAGATCATTTTCTTATCTATGGCAACTGTCAATTCTAACGTGTTAATTATTCGCAGTATAAACTATTAAGGATGAAGGAAAAGCGTCAACGTTTAATTTCTTATCTATTTTAACACGTTGTTATCAAACACTTCAATATTATCTCTTTTCCTTTCTTCTTATATATATATCTTTTACTATTATTTATTTTTTTTTTTTATTTAATTAAATTTATTTCAAATTTCGTTACTATATACACTACATACTAAAAGTTTGGATACACGTACTCGTATATGAAATATCAATAAATTATTGGAAATTATGTTTCTCAAATGCTTTATTATATTATATATATATTTAGCATACGTAAAAGTTAAATTAAAAATATTGATTGTAGTAGAAAAATTTGATAAAGCATTATTAGATGTGTCCAAACGTTTCGCTTGTTAACAAATATGGAATCAATAGCTTGTACATAAATGTAATGCAAATGCAGTATGTGTTACCAAACTTTGCAGTGTATATATATATATTTATATATGTATTTCATATCCGCTGGAAGTGATTGATTTTATTGACGTATTTTTATGATTGAACAAAAAAAAAAAAAAGAACCTTTTATAATGATCTAAATTGATGTCCTCCTCATAAATGCACACATAACGCACATATTACAAATTTTAGGCATACACCGAACGTTCTCATATTTAGATATACATAAATATATTACAAGAAGAAGAATAGGAAAATAATAATAATAATATTAATAATAATAAATTAACGTTACCTCGTCGGTTCGTACGGTGTATATAAATATAATATTATAACAGCGATTAATTTAATCATTATCATCGTGGTTTCTAATGATTTTTTTGAAAATGTTATGATAAAAAGATGATGATGATGATGATGAGAAAACATCATTTATTTTTTGGTCGTTGTTCTTCTCGTTGTTCTCTCGCAAAAAAAAAAAAAAAATCAATGCCGGAATTGACATTAATCAAAAGGCATGTGTAATTTCCCTCGTCCAATCGTTCGATGTGTCTGTGACGTGTCACAAACATTTATATATGCATATATATATATATTATATATGTATATTCTGAGAAAAAAAAAAAAAGAAAAAAAAAAAAAAAAAAAGAAAAAACATTAGATATTAGTATTAGAATTAGAGAATTAATAATTTCGTCGGTAATGAAACATTTTCCACAAAGTTTCGTATAGAAAGAAAGTTAATCGTTGATATAATGACGCACGCACATGATACATGCTTTAAAAGAAAAAAAAAAAAGAAAAAAAAGAAAAACGATGAATTATTTTTTATTTTCTTTTTTTATTTCTTTTTTTTTTTTTTTTATTATTACCGATAAGAGAAAAGAAAATAACGGGCAAATGAATGAGAGCCGTCGTCGCACACAATATTGTTGTCTCCTCCTCCCTTATTCTTCTCAGTTTTTATACAAACATGTTGAAAATATTTATATTTATGTATGTATGCATGTATGTTTGTATGCATGTATGAATGTATGTACGTAGGTCTGCATGTCTGTATGTATTATCGACACTTTTTCAAAAAATTCGTCTCAATTCAATATGTCTGCCGTGTAATTATTATCGCGTTTTAAAATTTAATTATTAAAGAAAAAAGAAAAAAAAACGTTCGTGTCTCCTATGCGGAAGAATCAGATGAAGAAAAAAAAAAATTAGCAAAAAGAAAAAAAAAGGGAATCGTAAACGACCTAAAATATTAATAATAATAATAATAATAAGAATAATAATAATAATTATTATTATTAATAATATAAATAATTAAAATTTATTCTTAATCATATACGCGTCATCGATTACATACACACATACCTTCGAACGTAAACCCCATTCGAAGCGTCCCCCATGGAAAATGATCGAATTAAAATAAAACCGGTCTAAACAACCTTTTTTTATATACATTAAACGAAAAAAGGGATAGAAAAGTACAAAATCGTCCCTAAATAATTTCTTGTTTCTCAATTAGCGTTTCGTGATGGGTGAACGACGCGATCATATCTAATGATTATAATAATAATAATAATAATAATAATAATAATAATAATAATAATAAAATAATAATAATAATATTAATATTAATAATAAATATTGATAATAAAAATAAGGAAAGGGCTAAACGCGCGAGTCACGAGAATAAACATTTTGTCGTTCGTACAAAATGTGTGTTAGCGAAAAATTTTCATCGTTCGATTTGCCCCAACGAGCTCGGATTAAAAAAGAAAAATATTCTATTTCAAATTTTGAATCTCTCTCCCAAAAAGTAAAATAAATAAATAAATTATCGAGAATATATGCATTTTTCGTCAACTCCGAGTTCGTTTAGGCACTGATAAAGTAGTATTACGTCGTAAGATTATTCAAAATACGGTTCGCGGGGTGTGTTTGAATCTCACGATATTTAAAAAACGCAATTAAATATATATATATATATATATATAAATTAAAAGAAAAATAGGATCGAATATATAAATAACGAATATTATCGTTGTTTTAAATCGGTCAATTCGATCGAAAGTGAAAAAAAAAAAAAAGCGAATGTTTTATTTAACTTTACATATATATATATCTTTTCTGTTGTATAATTTATTTTATTTCCATTTTTTGTACGTTTGTTCTATTTTATCAACAATCGTTAAGATACTCGGAAAGAAAAAAAAAATAGGAAAAAACTGCAATACCGACTGAGATTTAAATGAAAGTTCGAAGAATGAAACAACAACCCATTACTAATGTTAAACTTGCTAATATCTCATTTATAATAGTGAAGAAATAACTTACAAAAATCATTCCACATTTTTTTTTGTTTTTTTAATTATACGTCTACATTACGACTGATATGTTTTTTTTGTTTCTTTTTATATATAAATTTTAATCTTACAAAATATGTACATGAAAGGATGTCTAATTAAATGTAAATTCACAATTTAGGATTTTTCCCCACGATTCCTTAGAATGAACAAAAATTTTATACATATATTTTGCTTTTCTCGAGAAAGAAAGAAAAAAAGAAAGAAAGAAATGGTGATGATGATGAAGTTCGAAATACGAAAAAAAATGTGGTTATATATGATATATATATATATATAACCACAAAAATATTTTTATTACGTACCTCTCAAGTCATGCCTATGTGCCAGCTTTGTTTCTCGAGTTATCAGTGAACTCGTGTGTGTTCAAATGATCCATATCGATATTCTCATGCATGACAAAACATCAGTATAAATATATACATACAAATATATATATATATACATATATAACGAGCGCGATTCTGTATAAATAAATAAATCATTCTGTGTACGCGTCCAGTTAAATTAAACTAGGTAGATATCCAATGACAAAGAACGATAAAATATCTTCTTTATAAATATATATATATATGCTTCGTGTTCACATAACATAGATCAATCTTGCTTAGTATCGGAAACCTCCATTTTTCGTAAAGGAAATAAAAAAAAAAAAAGAAAAGAAAATAATTGATACACAATTAAAATTAAATCATAGTTGGTTTTGGTATAATAAAAAGTTAATACACATACGTGAAAGTTATCCTTTGTACATGGGGCAAAACTAATTATTAATAATAATAATAATAATAATATTGATCACATGTGTTAAAAAAAAAACAAAAATAATAACGTTACAGTAATAATTATCTAATTAATTATAATTGGTAATGTAGGAATCTACCATAAATATGCGCCATTTGTAAAGAGGAGAAAACGCGCGTTTAGAAGTTATTCTATTCTTTGCGAAAAGTTGAAATAGGGAGAGAAAGAAAAAAGAGAAGAAGTAAGAAAAAAAGAAAAAAAAATAGATGAGGAAATACTACGGAAAAAAAGAAAAGTTTATTATTAAATTAAATTAAATATTTCTAGCTCTCTCTTTTTTTTTTTAAAAGGGTCATGTAATACTCATTGAATCATACACGCAACGTTCGATGTACTTCAAATAAAAATTCAATATATAGTTAATATTATAATAATAATATTAATTTTGAACGAAAAGAAAATAATGCGAGTATTTTCGAAAAAAGAAAAGAAGGATTGGATTAAATAAACCGAATGAATGTTTTGTTGTATTAGACCTACATTTTTCAATCGATGAATATTTAAAAAAAAAAGACTCGAAACTTCCGGCCATCGTCTTTTCGAATAATTTCGTAATTTTGACGATACTAATGCGATTGATAATCAATCAAGCCGATACGAGTTAAACGAAATCTCTTCTTGTTTTTTTTTTCAAACAAATCAAAGATATTTTTGCAAATATTTCTTTTTCGTGAAAGAAAAATTTCTTACGAATTGTTTCATTGGATTTATCTGCATCTTATTTTCTTTTTAAATAATCATCGCGCGTTGGCTTACTTTTTTTATCTTGTTCCTTGTTTCGATCACGTTTTAATATAAATAAAAAAACCAAATAATAATGGGGAAAAAAAGAGAGTACGTAATAAAGGAAAACGTAAAGAAGACAGACGTACGTTTTTGTTCCTGACGATCTTAAAAGCCAAATAAAACTCCTCCATTTTTGTAATGTCTATATGTCTAACGTATGTAATACAAAACCGCCCTGGTTTGGAGAAAAATTTAACAAATATTATAAATATATGATACATATATACATACATATAAATATATATGTATGTATGTGTATCCTGTATATAAGTTATAAATATTGTGTATCATCTATTTATAACTTATATGTTTATACATGCAAAAATATAGATACCTATATAAT